AGCTGATTCCTTATCTTCACTTGTTGAAATTTGTAGCAATTTACAACTTGAAGTTAAGCCGAGATTACTGTTTATCTTCACTTGTTGAAATTTGTAGCAATTTACAAGTTGAAGTTAAGCCGAGATTACTATTTCTCTTCACTTGTTGAAATTTGTAGGAATTTACAAGTCGAAGTGAAGCCGAGGTTATAGTTTGCACACTCATAGCAATCTACAGGTTGATCCAACCAAAGAAGATGCTTAACACTTGTTGAAATTTGTAGCAATTTACAAGACAATGTTAAGCCGACATATGATCATCTGTTGAAATTTACAGCAATTTACAGGTTGAGGTAAAAGCTAAGTATATTGTTTAAACATTTGTTGAAATTTGTAGCAATTTACAAGTAGATCATTGTTATAACTTGAGAAAAATTTACAGTATATGTTAACACTTGTTGAAATTTGTAGTAATTTACAAGTAGGTTAGACCGAGATCACTGTTTAAATACTTGTTGAAACTTGAGAAAAAGTTTACAAAAGTTAAACATCGAGTAGTATATGTTTCATACTTGTTAAAATTTATGAAAAGTTTGCAGGTCAGTATCTTGCCGAAGTAAAAGTTTTGTCGTTATTATACCCAAGGTATGTAACCCCGAGAAGATTGCACAAGGAAGGAAAAAGTATGTACAGCATGCAAAATATTCTAAGTATAGAAACCGTGCAGAAGCAAATCAAGAGAAATTAAAACATTGAAGCATCCATAGAAAAACAGTTGCAGTTGTATACAAAAGAAGGCACTACGGTCTACCAGAAGTAAATTGTTTCGAAATAACAAAGAAAGGCACATCGGCCATGAGAGGAAGCTTACATTGTCTAGAAAACAAAACAAAGTATAAGGGCGCAAAAGAAAAGACATGAAAGATTAAGACTTTTCAATATTAGCATCTGGCTGGATCTGAACCTCAGAAGTCTCCTGAAGAGATACCTCGGCTTCCTTATCTGCAGCAATTTCGGCATCAATCTCGGCAAGAGTTTCGTCAATACTCTTGTTGACTTGAGGAACGTCGGACGAACCCTGCTCCGGGGTAGCTCCTTGGCAAATTCATCATCATCTTCATCTTGAGTCAGGTCCAAGACCTGCTCATTCAGAGAAGGAGACTTAGTCCCAACAGCCTCCCTGGGTTTCCTTACCAAAGTTTCAGCCTCATCCTCGTCCTCACCTCCATCTTCATCCTCAGATTCAGAAGCGTCCTCAGGTTGACTTGGAGGTGGAGGTGGTGGGAAGGGAAGAGGGATAGCATCGGCATTGCGGAAAGGTGAATCAGCAAGAAGATCAAGTTTCTTTATCAGGGACATCCAACCAAGGGAGAAGCCCATGTTGCATGCCTGCCTGACCTGAAGTTTGTATTCTTCAGTGACGTCAGCCATACCCTGGGCGTATGCCTTTTCGTCAGCCTCCTTAATTTCGACATCCTTGGTGGCCAGGGCCTCCTGCAGTTCCTTCTCGACTTGGGCCTTTCTGTCCTCGGCCTCTATCTTCTCGGCTTCAGCAACCTTCCTTATGGCCTCGGCTGATTCAGCTTTTTCCTCGGCTATCTGTTAGGTTGCAGCCTCGGCCTGATCTTCCAGCTTCTTCATTTTTAGTTGAAGACCTTTGTTGGTCTTCTGCAGAGCAGAAAACTCCTTCTTCATCTCGGTCATTTCTTCCCGATTCTTAAAAGATTGCATTGAAAACGAATGGGCATATTGGATGGCCTGAAAGAAAATAGAAGTGTTAGAAAATATTTTAAGTATGAAACAGAAAGAAAGTAGAAAATTGAAAATAGGAGCACTTACTTGAACGGAGTGCTGGAGCATTAAAGCATAGTTCTCATACTCACTGTACTCAGCATTTCGCTCTAGGTCCCCTGGAAGGAGAAGAGCAGTGCTAAGGGCGACGCCGACATTAATGTCATCAGCGCTTTCACTGGACATAATTGGCCTGTCCTCCAAAGTAATCTTTGGGGCCCAGGGGACGTCGGGTTTTTTGGACCCCGAAGTCGTTGCAGAGGACGACCTCGCTTTCTTTGACTTTGAAGATTCTGCTGGCTGTGTTTCAGCCGACTTTTTTGCAGGAGCAGAAGAAGTCTTCTTACTCCCAGCCAATTGTGAAATTGGCAGAGTATCTTCAGTCTCAACTACAGTGGCTTTAGCCTTGGGCTGAGCCTTTTTTATTCTTTTTGGCTTTAGTGGGGGCATGGACTGAGCTGGAACAGTATCAACGTCGGCCGGTAGGTCGGCTAAGAGATCAACAGCAACAGGCTTCGGGCAACCCATCTCAGCAGTCTTGACAAGTCGTCGCCGACGTTTTCTTTCTGGTATTGGGATTAAGTATGGGGCTGAAGTAGATGGCAGATCAGTTGGGTCAGAAGTGGATCCTTGGTATGCTCGTGATGTGGAAGCAGTAGGAAGAGTTGTGGCAGAAGGTGGAGAAAGACTCTTCTTCTTCTTCTTCGGGACGTCGGGCAGAGTAGATTTGTACGTAGGAATAAAGTTCAGAAGAAGAGGTGCTTTCTTTTTGTGGACAGGCAAGTCCAGGAGCCTTTTCAGGTCCTTGCTAGGAACGTAAGGTTGGCGAAAGTCTTTCGCTAACTTGCGAACGTCTGCAAGAAGAAACAGACATTAGAAACAGATAAAATATTGAAGACTTGAAAAGAAACAACTAAGTAAATAACATTGGGCTCTTACCCTTGCCCTCTTTAACCGTTCGAGGAAGAGGGTATAGATGGACATCTTCGTCTGGGGCAAATTCTCAATTTCCAGAGACAATGAAGTAGTCATCTCCAGCCCCCTTGTTGGAGTCTGGGAGGTCGGTTACGATTTTGAATTCAGTGGACCTCGGCTTGAGGTAGTAGACGTAACCTTTTTCCTTCAGGCTAAGGGGGCACATGGTGTAACAATACTGTATGTCGGCTAGGGTGATTCTAATGTTTTCTTGTCTGGCTAAGGCGATAATACCAAAATCACTCGATAAGAGTTTATGGCAAGTTGCATGGGGTTCAACTTATAATAATGCAGAATCTCGTGAAAAAGAATGTTAAGTGGAAGCCGAAGTCCACACTCAGTAAAGGCTACAATAGGGAGAGGCATGGTATTTTCGGTAGACATGATGGAGTCATCATCCCCAGCCAGTTTCAGGTGGACATCGGCAGGGACGGAGAACTCCTGCCTAAAGTACTCAAGTTTGGTCGGGGTATTAACCCTATGTCTCTACATACCCATAACGTCGGCCTAAATACAGAAGGCTAGGTTTCACAAAGAAGGTGCTCTTAAGGGGTTATCGGGACCTCGGCGAAAACCCTAGGTATATACTGATAAGGATTGTTTCCGTTTTCCCTAAAAATTAAAGGTTCTATAAACAAAACCCAAACCTAAATCTATGAAGGCAAAGATTGAAAGCAAAAATTAAAGGCAGAAATCTGGAAAACAAGAAACAAAGAACGACGTTTCAGAATCAAAGAACAGAGGTATGGTTCTCAGAAGCGAAAGAAATACAGAAGTAAAAGGTCAAGAACAGTGGCAAGAAAAGTGTTGAAATAATGCAAGTGTTCAAAATATAAGTGAAATCATGGGATAGATACATCCAGATGAATAGTTCAGAGAATCAAAGGTTTGAACAGAGCAATAATGGCAATAAGTAAACGAAAGCACATAGAAGAAATTGGGAGTAAAAGGAACAGAGGCTTACCAGAACAAATGAAGCCGGAATGAAAGTCGCCGAGATAAGGCAACAGTTACAGACACGACAGAATGGCGAAACCCCCGCTGAAATGGAAGAATGACGACGGATGCAGAGCTTGAAGCTAGAATAATGGCGGATTTGGGAAAGTTTAAGAGAGAGAGAAAGCCAGAAAATCAAGTGTAAAAGTAAAGAAACGAAGTACAAAAGTAAAGTTTTATCGAAAACTTGAAACGGCGGCAAAACACGGCATTTATTGTGCCTGGAGGAACGCGTGCGTCAGACGGCGCAGACGGATGAAAGACGGCTCACAAGCGCGTCACAGACACGGGCCAATGAAGATAGAACACATAAGGGGAACGGTTGAGAAAAGGTGCATGACAGCTCATGCGCGTGGAGGAGTTCGTTTGAGTTCTTGTTCTTTGATGAAGGCATGTCGGCCTAAAATGAATGATCTTGGCCAAAAAGTTCTTACGCCGAGGTACTAGAAGAAAATACAGATATAGGTTCCATTACCTCAAAATGCCGAGGTAATAGAACCTAGGAGGCAGTTGTGGGGATGTATTTTCTGAATACCAACACGTGGCATGGTGACGCCGACGTGTCAGTCGAGGTGCCACGTGTCGTGGTAGTTATGCCGAGGTTATCTTTAGCGAGGCCGAGGTGATCTCCAAAGATATCGGAATCCGAGATAAGCGGATAAATGGATAAGGAGCAAGAGTCCTAGAGAAAAGAGAAGACTTAGCCAAGATAAGGATAAAACTCTTAGGGAGATTATCTTTATCTCTTGAAGAGTCCCAGTCAGTATTGAATTGGAGTCCATAGAAGTTAGGCTTCTAGTGAGACTTAGATTGAGTAAACTATAAAAGAGAGGCACCCCCGTGGGTCTAAGGTACGCAGTTTTATACTTAAGCTTGTGAGTTTAGTACTTGATTTATCTTTGAGAGATATACTGACTTGATCGTCGGAGTGCCCCCAGGTGGAAGAGCCACCGCCGGAGCCTTTTTTTTCTGTTGCAGGTTTGCTGAATTCATCTATTCTGCCGGTGCTCTCCAACTTATTACTAGGCGGGCAGTGTGGTCAGAAAATTACCCACACAATAGGTTTCTAGTAGGATACTCTTTTTCAACCTATATATATAGGTCTTCTATTGTATATGATTAATTCATTGAATACAATACATATTATTTTCTCTCTATCTCTCTACTATTCTAACAATTTAATATATATATTTTTAATTTTTAGATACACCTAATATAAATATACTTAAAAAATATAATATTTGTGAAAATAATTTTTAAAAAATTCTCTAAATACCAAAAATATAAAAAATTACGAAAATTCATTATTTGGGAGTATTTATTAATTTTTAAAATATTTTTTTATAAATATTTTATTTTTTATATATATTTAAATAAATTACATCAGTAAAAGTAAAAAAATTACTTAAAATTTTAAAAATATTTACTAAAAATAAAAAACAAAAAACTTTAATTTCTAAAACACTGAATCAAAAAAACTGAAACCAAACACATTAAATATAATTTAAAAAATTAAAAAATTAACTTTTAATCAAGGGAACTTTTTTTTTTTAAGGTCCTTGGTATTAAAATTTTATAACATAAAGGACATTCATTATTTTCATAATGTCCAAGGTCTCTCAACATTAATCCAGAGAAAATTCAATCCAGAGAATTTCTCTGGACACATCACAGAGAAAATTTCAATACTTGACAAAAATATTATTTAAAAAATAAGTTCGATTTTGATTTTTAAAATTCATTTTTCAAAACAAATTATTTTTTTTATTTTCTATATATATATTTTTTTATTTTCAGTGAATTTTTTAATATTTTAAATAATTTTTTTAATTTTGAGACATACCGAACATAAATACACTTAAAAAGTATAATATTTATAAAAAAAAAACCTTTAAAAAATTCACTAAATACTAAATACAAAAAAAAAAAATAATTCAATATATTTTTCGTATTTTTATTTATTTATTGATTTTTTAAAATATTTTTTTCACAAATATTTTACTTTTTAGATACATCTAAGTAAAGTCCATCTAAAAAAGTCAAAAAAAAAACTGTTTAAAATTTTAAAAATATTTACTAAAAACAAAAAAATACGAAAAACAAACAACTCAATTTCCAGAAAATTGAAACTAAAGACACTTAATACTATTATTTTACAAATGGCGAGTATGATCACACCAAACCAAACCAACCAAGCCTTAAGTCATCGGCTACACAAGTATGATCACACAATAAAAAAAAAAACCAAAAAACCCAAAAAACATTATCAACCCAAATTGACAATCAATACCTCATTTACACAAATAGGGCAGGGTCCTTGGACCCAAGTCTCAGAACATACTGTATCCATCATCGTCACCGTTCATCTTAATATAGCAAACAACAGCTAAAATAAAAACGAAATAAGATCCAAGTTGCATTCCCAGAGCTCCCCAACCAATAACACCGGCATGCCTTAAGATAGTTGGTATGGCAATGCTGCCCATGGCCGAAGCCCCGGAGAGGAATTTACTTGCGTCCACCCAGCTGTTTCATCAGTTGTTTTAAAGCAATAAGTTAAAAAAGATTATTTCCATAGTCGAAACAAATTTAAGATGGAAGGTCCTATCTTATTGGTTAGTTCAAAGGAAAAAGCCCAACCCGTTTGAAGATTCAGAAGTGAAAGAAGAGGTATCAGAACCCGCAAAGAACAGCAGAGGCAGGGGAAAAAGCACGTACATTACAGCTGCAAGATGACAATATGCAACATTATTTGTCAGAACCTATTCCATGAAACAAATAGTATCTCAAATTCCAATTGCCTGTAAAATTAATGTGAAGAAAACTTAGATCGGACTTCTTCACTTGTCTTATAAAATAATTACATATCAGGCGTTAATACCAAATTGCCAATATAAGTGAATATGGTATTCCAGTCTACAACAAGAATCTAACCCAAGTTAATGACTAGCCTGAATATGTCTGGGTCAAAAAAATGACACACCTGGCTGGGTTTTTTCCTTTTAGCTGGGCAATGGTTAGGTGTCAGGTGCTAATTTTTAATAAATGAAGATTGTCTAGTATGATCTCTTATTTATCAAAAAACAAAAAAAAAAAATCTCTTAGACTTCATCAACATGGCAATTGGCATTTTCAAGTAGTACCTAAAATGTCTACAAGCACATATTGTATCTACTTGTCAATAACAGTAAAACCATCAAATCCAAAATGGAAGTTAGAACACTATATTAAGAAGATTTTTTTTTTCTCCAAGACGATTCTAAACAATCGAAAGCATGACAAATGTCCGAATGCATATCCATTCCTCCATGTGGAGGACATGAAAATATATGCAATTTGACAAAATTTTAAACACTACTCCATAATTCAAGGGGTTCAGGAATCTGAATGCTTAAAGCAGTCTACACGCTATATTCAATGACTCAACTAAGAAATGTTTGCTTGCAGGTATAGTATTTGAACACCATATTTTTTAAGAAATGAATATAGTCTTCAAGGAAAAACAAGTTTCTTCTATGGTTGATGAAGTCTATTCTCAATATCTAAAATAGCACCAACAATGAACTAACCAATACATAATTGAGGAGACCTCTCGAATTGGTTTCTGAGGATAACTTAAGGAACTCATATTAATTTAAGCACTTGGTACTTGCAAAGATGTTGTATGCTCATATACTGTCATGTAACTCGTGATTTGAAATACCGACAAATAAAATAGCTACATCTAACTGATTCTTTTTCAAAAGGAGAACTACAAAACACACTAAAATTTAAAGCTTATTACCGGAAAAGACTCTAAATAAAACCCAAGAAAATCTTGCATCTCCCTACCTGTTAGCATTGGCCACCAATTATTGTACAAAGCACAAGCCTGTGGCATTACAAAAGTAAAAGTAAGCAACTAATAATGATTTTGTTACAAGGGATGTGCAACATAATCGCATATAGTGAACCCAGAGCAATGAACATGAAAGAATGCAACTAACCAAAACTTGCAAGACGATTCCTCCAGAGACCAAAATTGCCAAGAAAACAAGTTTCCCAGTTTGCAAGCAGGCTCTCACATAACCTGGTATGTCTGCCATAATTGAAGTTGCCTCAATTCATGGAGAGGAAGTCTGGAATGAAGATAGATACCAGTGCGTTACATATATATATATATATATATATTTTTAAATTACAAAGAAAAAAAGTGGTCTTCCAAGAATGGGAAGGATTAAAAAAAAACGAATAAAAGAATGACTCAGGCAGAATAGGTCACACATCACCATGATTTCTGATGATTTCCAGGATAGTAAATTTTATTTATCAAACTACCAGTGAACTTTTTTAGCAATATAGGAACTCCACCTTTCCTATGTTTAAGGTCTGTATTATACACACAGTTGGGTCCCATGTCCAAAGAAGTAGATGACTCTTTTAGGCACTCAACCAACATACAAATTTAGCAGAACCTTCATCAAATTAATTCAGAAAATGTTCGGTCACATGTTGGGCATAAAATGAAAGATTAGATAGAGCCAGATGCAAAGGGAGGGAGCTCCGGATGAATTAATCTATGAAATCACTAATTAGTAGGGGGAAAACTACGTATTCCCAAAGGACCAATATTTGTGTGGAATAGCAATGATGCAAACTGCCATATGGTATAAACACGCAAAGCAGTGAAGCTTATATAAATCAGAAAGAACATGTGGGATATATCAGTTTATCTTTCTGTTATCAGAAAGCACATGTGGGATATATCAGAAAGCACATGTTGTGATTTATATCACTTTTGAATTAAAGAAAGACAGTGATGCTTAGCGTCAATCTATGTTGCATGGACACAGGTACCGGTGATGGTGCGGGAATGTCTCTAACTGTCTGATTCATCTAATTTCCACATCCAGGATATGAGTACAAAACAAATATTCATATTTCTTTAATTTTCTTGGGTAAAATAGTGTTCGTGAGGTGTCATAGTTTTATGTTAAACTTGAATTACTAAGCGAATGTCCAACTACAAATGTTGGATACATATCACCCCATATTCTTATCCAAGTGTTGAGTGTCTAACACAGCTACTTCATACATTCAGAAGAGTCCATGTAATATAGGTTATAATTCAGATTTGAACAATATTTGAGAACTTTTACCTAAACCCATGAAATGCTAGACTGAATAAATCACAACAAACAAGTCATGATGATTAACATCCATTTGTTGACACCACAATTTGATTTTGTAAACCTATCATCATCATTTCAAAGTTGTCCAGCACTGGATCTAGTGCCCTGTATAAGCAATGAAATGAAATGTTGCATATGCATTACAAACAGAAATTACTCTCAGTTGACCAATCTGTACACTGGGTTTTATTCCTAATTTAAAGTAAAAAATTGGGTATCAAACTATAATTTATAGGCACATTGCGCCAATAATAAAATTCATGAAACTAATAATAGTGTTGATGTTTCATAAAGCAAAATTGTTAAAATCCAAAATTTCGAAACACTTGTCCGACAAACATACAATTTAAGACACCCAAAATTCAGCAAGTATGGCTATAGAATACAAACATTACTATATATACGGAGTCATTTTACGTGATTGATTTATATATAGATAGATAGATAGATAGATAGATAGATAGATAGATAGATAGATAGATAGATAGATAGATAGATAGATAGATAGATAGATAGATAGATAGATAGATAGATAGATAGATAGATAGATAGATAGATAGATAGATAGATAGATAGATAGATAGATAGATAGATAGATAGATAGATAGATAGATAGATAGATAGATACATGAGAGAGTGAAATCTGGGGCGAAACTCCGAGGGAATATGCAGAAGTGATGCGTTGTTTGGAATCAATTTTAGGGTTCAAAAGCTGCTTTTTGGATGCTCCAATCCAACGGGATGGGATGGGATCTACTGGTGCTTGTTTTTCACCCTTCTTTTTTTGGGTAAAAGCTACAAAGTTGGAGTGGGTGTGTACGCATAACCAAACAACTGAATTTACTCAATAGGGAAATGAGCAATGCTGGGGACCCCAGTGGGGGCGACCCCCAGCACCCCAGTGACAGTTGGCACGCTGTCACTGGCCCAAAACCAAAGAAAAAAAAAAAAAAACAGTTTTTTAGCCAATCAGAGATGACCTCAGCACCCCCACTGGAGGTCTATAATCTTACTGTTTGGTCTGTCGGGATGATGGCAAGCGTCAAGTCCGTAACTCCCACCATGGGGTCTTTTGGAACACATCAAAAAAGTTAATTTTTTCATTTTTTAATTTTTTTAGTTGAAAAAGTCAATTTTTTTTTTTTTATCTAAAATACCCAATTTTTTGCAAAACAAAATTAAAAAGTCAATTTTTTTCTAACTTTTCAAAACACCACTATATACCCATATATATATATATATATATCCTACTCCAAATTTTAAAACTTCATGTTAAAATATAACAATAGTATAATAAACTACTAGCATTCACCCGTGCTATGCACGGGATAAATATTTTTTGTTCATATATATTATACTTATTTTTTTTTTAATCATTTTGTTTCTCTTATATAAAATTTTTGATTTAACTCACTTTTTAGAAAATTAAGTTTTTATTTTTTAGTAATTTTTTTAATATTTTACATAGTTTTTAAAAAAAATTTAGATATACAAAAAACTGTTTTTGAAAATTCCAAACCAAATAGAGTATTATTTGTAAATTTAAAAGTTGTGTAAAATTATAAAAAAAAAAATTAAAAAATTATGAGTTTAATGCACAAATAACTTAATACTTGTTATGATTTTATAATATACATAAAATTAATTAATTTCCCCTTACTCCACCCAAAATAAATTTAGTTGTATTATGTGTAAAATTATTGATTTTATTTTTCATAACATAAAATAAAAATAAAACTAACATGTATCGTTAATATAGTATTAAATTTAATAGATTCTTGCAATCTAAGAAATTAAAGAAGTAATGAAAATAATTAAATTTTAATCTTAAATTAAAAACTATAAAGAAAAACAAAAGAATTGAAATCATGTTTAATATGATAGAATTTTCATTTCAAAACATAATATTTCCGATTTTCAAGCCAAGTATGTACATATATATTTTGGATTTTGTAAAACAAAATAAAACATGAAAGATTAAATTTGGAGATTACAATTTTCTGCAATCTCTGTAGTCAAAATACAAAATCTCAAATGCTTGGAACAAAAAATAAATTATTAAAGAAAAAGAAAAAGAAAAACCGAGACTTGCATTTGATGGCGGATTGCGGACTGCTGGCATTCACTGCTGATGAAGGAAGTTGATGAAGTATATGTGAAGTTGATGAAATATATGTATTTGCGGTAGTGGATTGTTAGAAGTAATAGTTTAAGGGGATATGGATAGATGGGTTGTTTTTTTTTATATATATCAATCTGTTGTAGGATCGTGAGAGAGTGGGATTGAAAGTGTTTGAGGGTAAGAGAGATTTGTTTGAGGTAGGAGAGTAACAGATTTGTTTGGATAGGTTTTGTTTTTTTGTTTTTTTTTTTAGTTTGGATAGGTTTTGTTATTGTTTTTTTTTTTGTTGACAACTTTTTATGGATAAGAGTTGTGGATAGTGGAAGAGTGGGAGTGAAAATCTTTGAGGGTGAGGGACAAACGTAGAGTAGGAAAGAAAGGTGGAAGGATATGAGTTTTTATTGTTATGAAAGTCTTTGGGAGGGAAGGAAAAGAGCTATAAACTCAAAAGAGAGGTGCCACGTATTTTTCAAATTTATGAGAATTTTAGAATGGCATTTTAGGTGGAAGGATAGGAGTTTTTATTGTAATGAAAGTCTTTGGGAGGAAAGGAAAAGAGCTATAAACTCAAAAGAGAGGTGCCACGTATTTTTCAAATTTATGAGAATTTTAGAATGGCATTTTGAAGCCTTTTAAAACAACACTACATTCTATTATATATATAGTATAGATAGATTGGAGAAGTTAAGGGCAAAAAAAATTATTTTAGAAAAAAGTTCAAAATCTTGTGACAAAATAATTTTAATTTTATCAATTTAAATATTAAGTTTTTGATTTGTTATCAACTTAAAACATTCGTTCACTTTCATTAAGTAAAATTATCGAAAAAAATATATTTTAGTCATTAAATTAAATGTAAATGTATAATTTAGACAATTTTCATCAAGTTTAATGATTAAAATATATATTTTTCAAAAATTTTGCTTTAATAAAAACAAATCAAAATATCTAGATTTAAATTGACAAAATAAAAAATTTAGAATTTATTTTATTATAAAATTTAAACCATGAGTTTATTTTTTAATAATTTTTTCTAATTACTTTTTAGCTATACAATTCCATTGCTTCTCATGTTATTTTGACACAACTAACTCTCATATAATTTTTTGACCAAAGTTCTATTTCTCCACTAACAATTTTTTTTTTCCCCTCTTTATTATTATTTTGTCTTTGAACATCTCAAATGATAATTTTGTGTTATCTTTTCATTACAAAGCTTTTTTATTTTGTATTTTTTTCCATTCGTAATGCCTCATGGTCATACAGTTTCAATTCTTCATACTGATTCTTTCATTTGTGGATGCAATTTTGGACATTGGCTTTGCATTTTGAGGTAGTATTTTTGGGATTCTATTTATACCTAAAAAATTATTAAGTATTCTCAATTTCTAAGTACACCTTATTTAATTATTTAGGTAGCACTGGTAACGTTTACGTTTTTTGTTTATGTTTACAAAAATTTTATAAATTGATTTTTGTTTATTTTTAGAAAAACATAAACTACAAACCCATTTGGTTTGAACAAAATGTTTGAAAAATTTTAAAAACATAAACTAAAAAATATGTTTGTTTAGGTCTAAAATATTTATATTTATTTTTTATTATTTATGACAATGGGATCATACACATTATAATTGAAAAAAATAATTAAAAACAATTCATTGAAAAAAAAAATATTTGAAAAAAAATTAATGGAAAAAAAAAATTGAAAAAAAAAATTTGTTAGTCAAAATTTAAAATTTCTGTTTAAAAACAAACGTAAACTCATTTTTTGACTTAACATTTTTTTCTCAAAGTTACAAACTGAGACAACCATTCATAAATCAAAAAAATTATCAAACAAGTTTTTATGACAGTTTTTAAAATTTTTGTAAGTATAAATTGAAAACGAAATGGTTACCAAACAGGTTCTAAAATTTTATTTTACTCTCACCCACTACTAAATAAAGGACCTTTTGAGTTGGTTTTTTGAGTCGGCAAATTTTGTCATCGCAAAAGCTAGTCTTTTTGCGACAGCACAGAGTTACTGACGCAAATGTCAAACTTTAGTGTCAGTACCGTTGGTTGGCACAAAAAATTAATATTTTATAGCATTACTTGAGTTCGTTGAATTTACCGACGCAAAAGATAAACCTTTTGCCTCGGCAAACCCTTGCCAACACAAAAAACTAGACCTTTTTGTGTCGGCAACGGATGCTGTGGCAACAAAAAAAAATTTATACTAAAAAAAATATATATTTAATAAATATATTTGATTATACATATACTTTTATATTAATATTGAGTGTATATACTATAAATAATATATATCTCATTTAAAATTAGAAAGACGTATTGTGGTGCAGTGAACTATCCCTGGTATGTTAGGTTTAAGTTACCTGAATGAAGTGGGCTCAAATCTTGGGAGCGTTAATGAGGAAATGATGGGTTAGAATTTTTAAAACATTTAATCATTTTTGTGTTTGCAACTTACCGTCTCAAAAAAATTAAAACTTTTTGTATCGGCAACTTGCCGACTCAAAAACCTTTTGTAACCCCACCATTTTCGTCCCTCGAGTTACCGTCGCAAAAAAATTTTGCGTTGGCAAATTTGCTATTTGCGACGACACTCTGCCGACTCAAAAACCCTCTTTTTTTAGTAATGACCCTATTATTTTTTTTTTCTTCCAACGTACCCTTAAGGTAAACCCAAATAATAATAATAAACAAACTAAAAAAACTATATTATATCAAAAACTTTTAAATACAGAAAATAATTTTCAAATACAAAAAAAAAAAAAAAACTAAACTTATGAGTACATAAGCATTATAAATACAGAAAAAATCAAATTTTTAGATAAGCATTATAAAACTTTTCAATACAGAAAAAAAAATTATATTATAAATTATCTATAAGCATGCTCGTGGAAAGTAAAAACTAAACTTATAAGCACAAAAGCATCAGGCACTAACAAGAAAGAATAGTTCTCAAATAATGTACTATTTAAATGACAAAATAAAAACAACTCCAATAATATGTTATTGTTAATTTAACTACTAAGCCCTTTAATTTTTATTAAAAAAACGATATAGAAAATAATTGATGGTGCCCCTACAAAAATTGAGAAACCCCTTTATATGAATACTTACCTCCTTTTTTATGAGTTGTTTCAAAAAATTATTTTAATTATTACTCTCATCAATTATTTGATTTTGTTCAAACTTTCTTCTAGGGTTTAGGATTTCAAAATAATAAAAAACAATGATATTGATGATGATGGTGAATTTTGGTAGGGTAGATTGGAGTTTTGGATGGAGCATAAAGAAGAAGAAGAAGAAGAAGAAGAAACTTTGATCTATTGGGGAAGAAGATACAAAAATTTGAATATGAATAATTGATTGAAAAATGATGCAGACCACTAATTAGTGGTTGCACTAGGGATGTGGCAGTGGGTCCCACCCACTGCCACATATGTTTTGTGTCTTAGTTTTTTGTTTTTTTTGTTTTTTTGGCTTGCCACATCATTAGTGGTGATGTTAGTGGTGATGTTTTAGTGGTCTGTATCATTATTGTAATTGATTAGGGTGTACCATAAGAAAAAAAAAATTATTTTAGAGTTTAATATGTATTAGGGTGTTGATTCAGAACCCCACTGTTTTCCCACCCTCCACACACACGTGGGGGTTGGTCATTGAAGGAAAAAAATAAAAATAAAAATGGGCCAATCAGCTCC